CTGATTTCTCTGTCACTGACCGTGATGTGATGCTCAAGGTGAAGGGCGTCCAAAGGAGACTTTCCCAACATTATCTCCGTTTTGTACCTTTGGAAACCTGGGGTGGGGACCCAGGATCACTCATCTCCATTTCTTTAAAGTTTGCTTTATGTTACCCCTGAGCTGTGCAGTTGCCTTCCTAGAGCGTCCCCGGTATTTATATTGTATTTCATGCCAGCCTGTGCTCCTTTACTGAAATGTTTTCAGTCACTTATCTCCATGTCCGTGGAAAGAATTAGACATTTATCTTTCCCAGGAAGAGTCAGGGATTCATACGGAGTGCGCTTTTCCAATGCAGGAAAGATACTCGCCAGGGTGGTCAGTGTCTAAAATGACCCGTGACCATAAAAACAAAGGGAAGGTGATCTGTAGAAGGACTAAAGCTGCGGTTTATGTCGGGAGAAAACAGGTTCTGCCAGGGGGAATTCTCAGGAGGGAAGGTCATCAGAGACTGTCAGCCCCTGTGGAGTGTGTCTGCCCCACCTCTGATTTCCGTGTGAGGGAGGAAAGGACGCAGGTCCTTGGGAGGACACAGGATATTGCAAACGACGTTCATTCCCCTGGCAGGGGCACCTTCTCTGTGTGGAGGGTGTCCCATTCCTGTGTCTGCTCCACAGAGGTGAGCCAGCCTCTGCCTCTGTCCTGGACACAGTGTGACACTTCGGTTGCTATGAGAGGAGAGGTAAAGACAGAAAGGAGGAGGACATGCGTTCAGAGGGACATGGGGACTGTGGTCTCGGATAGGGCTGTGCCTATGGAAACTGACCAGGGAACTTGGGGTCCTCACCAGAACCCCAGGGGAAGGTGTCATGTGCCTGAGAATGACTGAGGTGTTATTCTGGGAGGAGCTGGTGAATGGCCCTGAGTGACAGGAGCTCAGAGGTTTGAGGTCCCAAGGTAGGAAGTAAAGGCAGCCTGGGGAGGGCCAGAGGAGAGAGGAATGTCCCTGGCAGATGGGAAGCCACCATGGGGTCTGCACAGAGCCCTGCCCTCCAGGGAGCCCTCAGGGACCTGCAGGATGGGATGGGATGAATGGCTGGGGGTGAGGCCCCCGGAAGGCACAGAGAACCTGTGGGGAGACTGACCAGGCACAGCACAGCCCAACCTCAGCTCTGACAAGCCTCTGTGGGCTCACATGCCCTCCATCTGTCACCTACACTGTGACTTCCAGTGAGACTGTCCTC